TGTTCAACCATGTTCATACTAAACCTTGTTTATTTCTTGGGCCCGATTGAAGACATAAGGTTTGCGCAATAGAAAATGTTTTTACTTATTCTTATTATTTTTCTAAACAGAGCATGTGCTACCACATGCTAGACTGGAGTGTCTAGTTTCACACAATAATTTCCCTATTTTATCATTGGTCAGGTGTTCTATTTCAGTGATAGAAAGGAGATGGTCAAATATACACTTCAACAAAATTTCTCTGTATGCCTTTCAGGAGGATTAAACCAAAAACATTGGGCCAAGAAGTTTCCTTTATGCAGCAGTGCAAAGCAGTCTCCCATCAACATCAATGAGGACCTGGCTCCAGTCAAGCTGCAGTACCAGAAGCTAAGGTTTGATGGTTGGGAGAGTATGACAACTGACAGCACAACAATCAAGAATGATGGCAAGACGGGTATGAGCATTCACAAAGGAAATTATCTCTAAGTAACATGAAGGAGTGTGTTTGTTGGTTGGTTGGTTGGTTGGTTGGATCTTTGTCATGTTTTGAGAACCTCTTGACCCACATGCAAACCATTGACCGACTGCTTCCCAGCTGCTTATATCTCCAACCTGCAGATTGTAAAACCAGCTGCAGGTGTGCCAGTCTGCCCGGCTCACACGGAGATCCTGTCAGAGGGAAGGGCTCTCACACTGACCCAAAATCCAGGGACCTGACACATCCAGGACAGTTGGTAGAATGTCCCTGTTGTTCTGACACTTTAATCGCTCTTACTTCGAGAGCAATTGAAATTCATAATCCCACTAAGTAACAAAGCTAGGCTTTTCACTCTCATTTACTGTTTCACTCACCAGTTTTTTTTTCTCTAGTCCACTGAAGTAGCAGCTTGGTTCAGACATATGCCCATGAACAGAGAGATTTGAAAACAATTCAAGACTCACAGTCTGCTCGAAGGAAGTTGTTCAGGAGTTGGAATAGTGGGAAGCTGTTCCAGGAGTCGGCAGGCTGGGCCTGTAGAGTAGAATCCATGTCTGCTCTGTACAGAGACAGGAAGCTCTCAGCATGCTCTGCCATCAGCTCTGGCCACCACGAGAAAGCCTGACATTGATGGAAAAATGGAAACAAAGGCTTCAGATGCTATGAAAGATTACAGTGCTTACATTTATTGTAGGAGATGTATGCAGACAAACATGAACATGACAAGATAAAATTCTAAAGTGGTAAGTGGGAAATGTCGAGTCATAACACTGTAATTACAGAGTTTAGTTGATCCTTATGGCAGAGCTGGAGGAGCAGTCCATAAGTAACATTGCATTTTATTTCCTATGACTCAACTTCTATTTAAATTCACCTTTGAATGGCTGCAATATTATTTTGGTTAAGCTCACCACGTGTTTCCACCTTTCTTACATTTCTGCATTACAGGCTCTATTTCCAAGCTGCTGGCGTGGAGATGGATGTTTTGAAAATGAACAGTTTTGAGGATCGAAGAATCACCAGGTTAGTTAAATGCAGTTTGTTGACAGGAGTACAAACTGAAAAGGTGCATTTAAAAGGCCGAGTGATTCATCCTTCAAGGCCACGAGTACAAGGGACTGCTGCCTAGTCAACTCTCCGTCTTACATCTCTGCTTCTTTTTCTTTCTCCATCAAACAGAAAAACTGACCTCAGGACATCAGCATACGGCTGAATGCTAGTTGCACTTTTCTCTTAGGTGTCCTTTAGCTGTCAAAAGCAGAGGTCATCTGAGCAGGCTGACCTCGGTCAACTGGAGAACCACATCACCCTTGATGCTCTTTAGAAAAAGCGAATCAACAAGTGCTTTTGCAACAACATCTGCAGACGGTTTTCACCCTGTTTTGGGCTTGAAAGCAGCTGACAGTCACAGCAAGCAACGACGTCTCACATCTACCTCTGTTCATTTAGACTTTAGCTGCTTTTAAAATGACATCTCACTTTTACAGATTTTCATCATCAAAACCTTTATAGGACACAAATAACAGAAAATAGAAGCAGTTCTTTTGTGACCTCTGTGACATTTTTCAGGGGAAAAAAAAGACCTTTTAATTCAAATGTAAGGGATGTTCCCCACAAAGTAAAATTCATCCATTATAGGTATGAAAACTGAACGTTTCCAAACAGTACAAGGCGAAAGTTCCTGCACATATGTTTCAGTAAATATTCTCACCAAGCATGTCCCCCCAGAACATCCACAGAAACAAACCTGAGCCCTCAAATAACTAAGTCTACTCGAGTTATGGTCAACAGTGGCATCAGCTTAAACTATGTGTGCTTTGCAAAAAAACCCTTATTTTTCCTTTTCTCTGGAGCCCTTTTGGCACATCACTGCCACTGGTACCATCACTACCACTAGAGGCAAAAATGTGGAGATACTACAACCCAGCCATCAGTCTGTCTCTTTGTTGAAGTCCTTTAATAATTATTTTATTTTATTTTGGTCATACTTTAACTTTGATCACATTAATCCAAATTCAAGATAAACAGACTTTATGTTGCTAAATACACAGTCCACCATTAAATTATTCAGTGCTTCACTTTTCCACATTTTGTTATATTACAGCCTTATTCAAAATGACATTAAATCAACCTCTTTCCTCAAAATTATAAATATCTCATTAGAATTATGAGAAAAAATGAGTTTTTTTTGCAAATTTATCACATAGAAAACCAAGAAACATTTATTTAAGTGTTTGCAGACTTTGCAATGAAGCTCAAAATGAAGTTGTTTCCACTGATCACTCTTGAGATGTTTCTACAGCTGAAATTGAGTCCACCTGTGGTCAATTCAGCTACAAATACACAAGTATTTGTAGATCTTCTGTGGGTCATGAGCTATGATACCATGTTTGACCTGAACCTTAACCTGCTTTAAACTTCTCCACAACTTCCTTCATCTTTGTTTCCTCGACGCTACATGAATGATTGGGTTGATTTATTTATTTTTACAAGTGCCTACAGGTGACATATGTTGTGAATTGATGCTCTATAAACCAACTGAGTAGAATTGAATGATGTTATTTATTCAATAATGTTCTCTGTCCAACTCTTGAGGAATTCACAGGACGTTCATGCTCAAACTGGTGGGTCCTATTTAATAATTAAGTGACTTCTGAGGATCAAAGTGTGCAACTTTTGGAAAGGTACATGGAATCTATGAATAGCATCTGGCCATAAACATTATCAGTGTGCAGCCTGAGGCTTGGTCAAAAAGGAGCAATATAATGTTTTTAATGTGATGCAAACAGTTGGCAGCTTCAATAAGTCCAAGCCGTTCTCTTCACAGATCATTTTAGAGAAATGTCTCCAAAATTGACTTCATCTTCCTTTTCCATTCCTGCTAAAAGGAAAATGTTTTTTGTCCAAATTCTTCTGCTAGCTGGAGAAATGTGGTGTTGCTTTCACATGCATTTTTTTCCAAAATTAAGAGTCAGAAAAAGTTTAAAATCATACAGAAAAGAAGAAAAATATATAGAGGTACAATAAAAATAATCTTAGAAAAGAAGGCAAAGATGAAAGAAAAAGAACAAGCAGCCAAAGTAAAGGAACAATAAAAATGGAAACAAAATGCATAAGAGTAAACAGCATATACACTGTAAATCATTTGAGCCACATTGTCTTCTGTCTTCTACTCTTTAAGTGTAAAGAGTAGTGAGTTTTAGGTTTTGAACCTAAATGTCTGACTTTGTAAAAGATAAACTTACAGTAAGTTAAGTTAACTTTTTATTAATTTTGTCAAACCACCAAGAGTTTAATGATCTAGAGTGTTTAAGTTAGCACTTAAAAAGAAAGAAGAAAAATACAGGAGTGGGAACTATTTCACAGAGTGCTTAGCGGCATGTTTCCAAAACTCTTGTGCCTTAATAAGGTAAATGTTCATTTTAATCCATCTGACAGTTTTAAAGTTTGAAGATACTATCCTGTTCACACTAAATGTTTTTGAGCAGAAATCATTGTGATGTTTAATAAAACTCATTATCAGATCAGAAATGTTGTTCATGCAATTTGAAACAAGAATTTAAATTATTCTAAAGTAAAATAAATAGTTATTTTAACTTGATAGTGTGAGTGAAAATAATAAAGTGTGTGCTGTTTAACTAGTATTTTTCACAATATGCAAGTTTTTAATTTCATATTGTGAAATAATTATTTATATTGAAGCATTAAGTTAAAACTCACAGTTCACAACTAATGAACTTAAAAAAACAAGTTTTAGATACCTGTCTCTTGTTAAATCAACTTCATGAACTTTAATTTCTGAGTTAAAACCAATACAGTTTTCTCTTGTTGACTTAAGTTCCATTTTCAAGGCAGCAGGTGGACTTTGGTTTTCAAGCTAAACCACCTTCAAATGTTTTACAGTGTAGGACAACAGCAGACTCAAAAATGAAGACAAAAAAGATTGCTGGAGGAGGAGCAATAATTTACAGAAGAGACAAAGAACTGGTCAGATAAGGGGAGAGAAAGAAGAAGTGAATGAAATCATCCAACTAAGCAAAAGATTTCTAAAGTGGTTGATTTCTCCAGGGGTAACATTCATTTCAAAGATGAACAAAAACCTTATTACTAAATCACTAAATGACTGTACAAACAAGGATGTATCCGCTCATATAGTCTTAAAACAAAATGTTATTAGACATCCCTTCCCTCTGGGACTCCAGTTCCTCCAACCATCACAGAGAAACGGCTCCTAGTGAGGCTTAAGATGCGGATGAACAGAAAGCACAAACGAAATATTGAACTTACCTCTCTTCCCTTCCCACAGCAGATGGAAAAAATAGAGATGGAAAAGAGAATAAGGTTAAAAAAGCTGAACCCAACCTCCAACATAACTTCAATTATTAAGTGTCTGGGTTACACTGGTTTTATTTTTCACTGGCTGTACTATGACTACCTATGGTCCTCAAAGCTGTGATTACCAGTGGAACACTGAGACCGGCTGGGTTGAGCGTTATACAGAAAAATGTCGCCTGCTAAAAGAATGATCTGATGGTTACTACAGCCTAGATTAATAGGAAGACACATTTTCCATCACTTCATTTTATACCCGCCAAGGATGGTCTTACCATTTGAACTGATCACAAATATTCACCTCATGATTTAATGCATCTTTAAATGTGTTACATCCTCTGAATAAATCGGTGCATGCGGTAACCCGAAGATGCCAGTTTGTCTCAAATAATAATCAGAACATTTTTGAAGTTATGTCTCCCTTTGTATTTTTCCTCCTGCCTGTCATTCTTGGACTAAGGGATTTGAGTTTTTAAAAGTGGGATGGTGCCCATTGTTTGGTCTGTGAGAGCATGTGGAGGCCAGGGAAGTTCAGGGCAGGCTGCTGCAGGCAAGTTTTAAATCATTTTAAATCATTTATATTTAATTTTTAATAATGATATCCTTACTGATAATCCATGCAGTTTCTAGATGCCTCCAATCTTCAAAAGAATCGGTTTCCTGGACTTAGAAATTGGAAGAAATGAACTGGTGAGTGTCTGTCTTATTGTCTGGAGCATGCTAATGCTAACAATAGTTATGTTAGCATTAGCATGTCAGCTATGTTAAGGCTGATGCTATGTTTGGTTGTTGACCTGTGATCATCAAGCTAATTTGTTCAGCACTATTTGATAAAAGACATGTTTATATGATGTATAATGGTGCAATATTTAACATTCAATTCTATAAGATTAATGAAAATGAACAGTACTCAATTTGAATTATTGTCATTATATTGGGTTATGATAACCAGCTAAGTGAATCATGTACATATATATTTTTTACCTATTAATTCCATTTACTAAGAAGGAAGTGTTTAAGGTAGGGATGCTCTGATCAGATTTATTGTTGCCGACTCTGATCACCCATGAGGGCCGATCTTTGCTGATCACCTGGACTGGCTGTTAATTTTTCACTTTAGATATAAATTATACTAATTGATCTGGCAAAATGGTGAAATTATCAGGCAATAAATTCACCTAATTTAGACATAAAACATGAAAAATACTTGTAGGTACAATACAGCAGCTATTCAGTCAAAAGAACAACAGAAAAACCTGCAACCAGTAAAATAATATTTAACAGTAAGGCTCTCAGTACCATAAATGATACATGAGTCAGATAAATATCACAACACGGCCTATATCAAATAATGTCAAGAAAAAGAGGAAACATTCATTCAAAGTCAAATGCAAGT